TACTGTAGGCTAGTTATAAGCTTGCCCTAACGGGTCGTAACCTTAGCTTAATAGGTCGCGTCAGGGAGTCAGCTGTTTGCTGCAGATAGAGTAATAATTCCTTAAAATTTGTCGGAGGTTGAGCCATGATAGGGGCAGATGCCCGGGATGAACTGAACAAAGGTAATATAACTGGTGAATATCAGAATAGTGGAACTGGTGAACCCTGTCTGGCCCTCCTTCATCTCGTCACCGGCGAAAGAAAAGCAAACACTGCCTGCCTCTGAACTAAACTTCCAACCTAACAAAGTCTATCGACACGAGTCCAGAGTACTTGGGAAATATTAGAGCATTCTGAAGCTATGGTTCCAGGCCTACCTTGTAAAAGAGAAAACAGACAGCACCCCAGCCCAATTTCACTAGAATAGATATGATCACAGCTAAATGAATGTACTCCCCGTTGCATTCTGCCCTAAAATAGATACCAACTTTGCAACTACTATGCACATTCTTGTACAGTTTCACTATAAAGCACATACCAGTTTAAGAAAGCCAAAACACCCCTATGAGGGTGTAGGGTTACCTTGTCCTAGTTTCATCAGGAACTAGGGTTCACTACTCAAACAAAGTGGTTTCACGTAATCCTATATTCAGGTAAGCATCATGTCCTAGTTTGGAACAGTCTCTATGGCTTTTCGATATGCAACTAGGCTGAATGGTCACAAGGATACCTCAACATGACTACCTAATATACCTCTCACACTTAACACCGAGAAGTGAAAGAATGATCAAACGGTACAACGGTAGTCCAAATCCAAGAGTTGTGTTTTCATCATGGCAGAGCCCACGACCGGTTAGCCTTTTAGTAAGCTTTTGGGCAAGCCTCCCGCAAGCCGTCCAGGAATAGCAAATGGCAAACACAGTGACCTAAGCGCGCCAATGCAAATGCAAATGCAAAGAACATATAAGTATAGATAAAATTTCACATCATGAAGTTTGAGTCAAGTTCTTTACTTTCTCCAGTAGAATCGCCAGAAACTGTAGCTCGACTTTTCGTGCCCCTTCTCGGAAGATGAATAAGCCCTACAATATTAGACTCCCGCGGTTCTGAATCTAATCTCACAAGTGCAATGTGAAATAGATAAACACCAAAGAGTCTTAATCTGGCAAATCTTTTGAAAAATCAATTTTGAATCAAATTGCCAAAAATAGACTACTTTGCCAGATACAGAGTCGCCACCTAAATATTTTTAGAAAATCTAGGAAACCCATGACTCGTGCCAAAGGCCACGTGCCCATCATCACCAAGATTATCTCGGCTTGTGAACTTAGGTACAAGAGGGGAAGGTCTTGAATTGAGCACCCTCGCTCGCCCGCCCGATCAAAGATCAGCCTTTACTAATCATGATGTGATTCTTATCTACATGATATGCTCTTGTTCCAGTTATTAGGCTAGCATTACTATGTGATGCGCGCACACACAAGTATAGACTAACTTGTAAGAATTAGAACACTTGATTCATGTTTGTTTGCAAAATTGTTTCGAATATGTACCACTTGAAAAGGTGATCGCATATAAACATTACTCAAATTATTCCAATTCAAGCAACTAGCCTCCATCCACAAGCATTCAAGCAGTGTATCACTTAAGCATTTAGCCTCATGACAAGCATGCTAGTCATGGAAACAATCACACACATGCGATATGCTAAAACGAGTAAAGGCTCACCTAGTATTCCAAGCCAAAAGATGATAAAGTTAGAAAGATGCATGATCCTAACAATGCGATATGCCTAATGCAACGCATGCGATATGTAATTACTAGGCTCGGTTACTAATATGGCATATGAATCAATTTGATAACATATGGTCTAAGCACGCATTCAAAGAATATTTTAAACTAACAATGCAAGTTAGAATGATAAACCGAGTCTCGGTGCATGCAAAACAAATGGATGCAAACGTGGAGAATGCTAAACAAAATATGATACCCTAAACTAACCATCATAAGTTAGTAAATAAAAGGGAGAAAGATGTGGAGTTGAAAGACATACACATTATTACAACATTGCGCCCTCACACAAGAGGGTCCGAATGAATAAACTAGCTAACTAGCTAACTAATTACAGCTAAGCTAATTATTACAAAACAAATTAAATTAGCTAAACTACTTAACTAATTATTACAAACCGAATGAACTAATTAATTAACTATTCTAGCTAATTAAAATTATCACAACATGAAACGAATTAGCTATTCTAACTAATTAATTACAAAACCACTATTTTAAGCACAATACTAACATATTTACAACACGGATCCCAAGGATTGATGGAGGGCTCATGCATGAATGCGGTTTCCACCCGAAAAAGCCATTGTTTCTGTTGCTGAATGCCTCTGTTGCACAGTAGAACACTTGCACTGATTTCCACCTCCAGACCAACTTTGTTCTGCTTCAGGAGAGCACTGCTTAATTTTGCACTGGTGGCCGGCAGAGGGCCTACCGTCCACTGATGATGGCCTACCAATTACAAAAGGTGGCCAGTCGGTCATTGGTGACTAGACTTCCCTGCTGCAACAGAGTGCAAATAGAGTAGAGACAGTGTATTCTCAAGGGTTTGTTTGCCCAATTTACTCCTCCTTATCATTTGAATAGCTCAAAGGAGTAGTAGGTTTGATTCATAAACCATCAATAAATACAATTTTATTGCATGATGGCTTATGAACCAAGTGTGCAAGTTCAATAAATGCAATAAAACAAAACTCTCAAAACCTCATCCCTATCATGAAAGATCAAGGGAAGTAGTTGACAATGAATCTTGAACCGTTTTCATCACTAATGAGTATGAAATGACTCAAGACTCAAGGGTTGAATTAACATCCGATTGAACCCAAACAAGTTATCATCTTCTACCTTTTTTAACCTCAATTTTATTACTTAATTTTAAATTACCATCCATTCTTTAATCAATTGAGTCCAAAAGGTGAATTTAAGTCCTCTAATGGAAAGAGGGCTCAAACCAAGAGTTGTTTTGGGCATGAAAGAGACATTATACCATTGGTAATGAACCCCAAAATGGATTAAACCATTAAGTATGACACCTCAATCTCATTCTTAAACAAACAAATGATTTGAAACCACTTTCAAAGCAAAGAAAAATTCAAGAAAAGTGGGAGGTTGCAGATGTGATTAAAGGTGAGAACAAGTAAGAAAAACACTAAATAAATGCTATCAACTCAAATAGGATGGTGGCTAAGGCCTAAACCACCAATCCTATGAGGACTATTACACTACATGCCTGCAATACAAGGATCAAATGCAACAAACAACTGAAAATAGTCCCAAAATAGTTTTAAAATATGCAAATGAAGTGCTGGAATTAAGACAAAAATGGCTAAAATAGTAAGCTATAACATAAAGCTATGCAAGCTAGTGAACAAGACACAAGGAAGGGAGACTAAACCCTCCACTTTTGGACTTCAAAATATGTTTTTAGCCCCTGAAATAACTCTCAAATTCAGTGTCTAAAAGCTCAAAAAAGTTGACAAAGAGGTGGGAAACACAAGGGCAAAGGCCTAAGAAGCAAGGTGTAAAGAAGGGCTATCAACCCCTTTACCTTTAATGGCCTTAAACCATAAGTTTCAGCCCAAAAATACAGGTTTTAAACAGGCCAAAAAATAGTAGAAAAGATGGAAAACAAGTGATGTAAAGATGGTACAAAGGCAAGAGAATGTATACCTTTTGAAGAAGAATGAACCCTTAAGTCATAAACCAATAATTTCACACTCTCAAGTGCTTCAAGAGCTCAAATTCAAGATCAAATCACCTTAGCAAGAAGCTCTCTAGGTTTGGTTTAGAGTGTTTGGGCAAAGGCTGTGCAAGCTGCAAGAGAGAGAGAGAGAGAGGATATTTTTGCTTCCAAAATTTTTCTAACCCCATGGCAAGAACGAAGGTCCTCTATATATAGAGAAATAAGAAATTCCTTAAAAAATATCCAACCATACATGTGGGAGCAAATGCATGCATCTGTGCAAACAGCTGGCACAACTGTCACAAAATATCTACAAAACACATTGGTGGTTGGCCGTCCATTACTAGTGGTCGACAGGCCACATCAGTGGTCAGCAACCAAAAGTGATGGCCGGCAGAGCACCAAAGGTTGCAGGCTTAAAGATCTCTGGATTTGGTCAAAAAACAAGGCAACAGGGGTGCAAGGTTTGGAAGACTCAAAACTGTGGCATTTCGCTGAGAACTTCGAGCACTTGACCAACATACACTCATCATCGGGTGTGCAAGCGATGATGTTCAAGTCATAAGGGCCGAAAAAAATGGGGTGTCTACAAGCGCAAACCAGCAAAGTTTCACAAATATACAGTCATACGGAGCTCAACATAGTTCAAACATTTAGTCCTTACAGATGTAGAAGCTAAAGAAGCCAAAGCTCAACTGAGTTTGCAAAGATGCTCTTGTTTTTCCGGAGTTCTTTCTCTAGCTTGATCTTGAGCTTCTCTTGCTGTTGGAATGACCATTTTTTTCAAAGCCATTACTTGACCAACAGCAGATTCCTTCTTCTTAGAGTGCTCCTCTTCTTCTTTCTTTTGTTCCTCCTATAATTAATTAATTTAGAACCATAGTACTAAATCTTGTAAGGTACATACGTGAGACTCAAGATGGCATTGAGGCTCCTCAACCTTGAAGACTAGAGCTTTCTGAAGTAAATCAATAAGTACTTTAAGGGAGAGACTCAAGATTTTTGTAAGGCTCAACCTTCAAAAATCAAGCCTTCAGATCAAGGATCAAAATTTCACTTTGGTGAACTAACTTTCGCCAATCCAAAAAAAAAAAAAAAAAGTTTTTGTGTATTGTTTTGGTAACATTTCAAAAGATACACAAAAAATTGAAATACATGAAATCTTTAAAACACAAACTCAAACTTATCTAAAGGTATAAAAAAACCATCCTTTACCATCTAAAATCTGGTAAACTCATTCTATCCATTCAATCAAACCCAAAATTCATGAAAACCATTTAAAATTCATTCCATAAACACAAAGGCAAAATGCTACAAATGCCAACAATACATCCGTTCAGTTTCACAAAATCCATAATAACATTCGTAACATTTTCCCAAAGCCAACCAATGAATAAGTTACATCATAAAGTATAAAACGATAGAAAATACAATAAAATATACCATCGCCTTCAAATTATTTTCCAGCCTTTCAAGCCTTCGACTATAGTCATCATTCTTATTTTCCATGTCATTAATCCTCATCCTTAGCTTGTTAAAGTCTTTTACTGTTATACCATCACAAGCTCTAGTGTTGGAACGGATTGTGGACATAACGTCTTTATCATCTTCATCCACGAATTTAATGGGCAGTGTTAGTCTACAATGCATGACAATCAGTTAGTTGAATAACACAAATTAATTTTTCACTACTAAAGGATTAAATTTTCCTATACATACTTACATATTTTGATGGCCAAACAAAGAACAAACGTCCTTGATTTCCATTCTCATTGGTTCTTACAATATATATGGCAGCTATTCTTCCAGAATTGCACAGTCTCAGTTTTAATCTTTTGTTGCTTTTGTTAGTAGAAGAAGAAGACATTTTTAAATCTGCATGTTAGATAATGTCTCAATGGGACCACATAATTAAATGTGGTGTTATTATTTATAAGAAGCCTACAATTTAAGTGATTCAATTTAGTTAATAGGCTTAAGGGTATATGTGTTATGGACCTAATGTGTAGATACTAGTTGTATAATTTCTATTTCTATGAGGGGCAGAAATAGAAATTAAAACATATTGATTAAAGTTGGTTTTCATTTTTTAAACCAATAATGGTTAATTTATTGGTTTTCATTACCTTTTGGTTTTAAACCAATAATGGTTAATTTATTGGTTTTCATTACCTTTCAGTTTTAAACCAATAATGGTTAATTTATTGGTTTTCATTACCTTTCAGTTATGAAAACCAGTTACAACCTTTAAAAGGTTATGGTCCCTATTCCTTCCTAAGGTGGAAAAGATAAGAACATTGTTTTGTTTTTCTAAATCCTCTCAAGGAGAAACATAAGGCACCAAAGGGGAAAGGATTAGAAGGAAATAACATAGTCAATATTAATGTTTTATTGACAATCAGACGCTTCCGTTTAACCGTTCATCGATGGATTCAGGTATGTCATTTTGTCTTGATTTCTTGATGATATACATGGTAGATGATCCGAAACATGAAGTTTTATGTTCTGAAATTTATGTTTACACTGCATACACAATACAAACAATCTCACAACTATAGGTGCTGTAAGCTTTCTTGTCTTACTGTTTACTATTTAGTTTGTTTCCAAAGATTGTCATATACTTGCTTTGATGTGTCTTTCACTCTATGGAAGTGTCCAATGCATCCCAAAAAGATGTCTCATAGTAAATGTCATTCTATGACAATCTCTTACTGCATATAATACAAGTATTATAAATTCTTTGTCCAGAATTTATATTAAAAATAATGCCAGGACTATGACAATATAATGCAAGGACCATGAGAATATATGTCCATATATGCCCAAGTGCCTCCACAATTCTATGTTCATCATATTCAATTTTTTATTCTCTTCCTCTCTGTATTCAATGTTTAATGATGTAATTGAACTATTATTTTGTCATACTTCTAATCAAACATATAGTAAACTCAATCCAAATCAAGTTAAGTGATTATAATTAAGGCAAGAGATTGATTTGGTAGACTTAGTGCTTTAAAGAGGTGATGGGGTTTGAATTTTATGAAATTTCTAATATTTTATCACTATATTGAATACGGTTGTCATTGTTGAATATGATTTTACCAAAACTTGCCTAAGATAATCACAATACGTAATCATAGTACCTACATGACTAAAAATAAAAATTGGCTAAGGTTGCAAAGAATTGAATCATAACAGAATTTAATGCCATTGACTAAAATTCAAAAGATTTTTTAAATGTAGGGCTACTATTTGTTCAACCCAATGAGGAAGGAAATGCTGTGGAGATAGTAGGCTAATAAATTTAATACAGTGTACCTAAAATATTGGACCAACATCTCCTTATTTTTCCATACCTACACCAAGTTCAACATCTCCTTCAATATTTCCATACACCAGGTTCAACCAACAAAAAAAAATGAAAAAAGGAAGTAAACAAACTCTCTGTATTTCCATGCACCAAGTTCATAATCACAATCCAGAAGTTCATAGCACTACAAATTGCACTCACCAACATCTCATCCTATCTACAGTAGCTAGTTCAATAAAATAAATATAAAGGAAATGATCATGGAAAGTACATAAATATATATATATCTATCCAAATTTTGCACGAAGGAGAAGAACAACAAAGAAGGAGCAACAAATGTATTTTTATTTTACTTTTTAAATTTAAGAAAGAAAATTATAAAAGTAAGAAATTAGGGAGCAGCAATTTGTCTCACCAACTCATTCAAACTAATTACATAGGTTTATGGATACTGATTTATCAAACATGGAATGACCCTGCAAACACACAACAACACACCCACAAAATAGAATAAACAAAACAAACCTGAAGAAGTATTAAACCATGTAAGAGAGATGGAAAAAAAGAAGAAACAGAAGAAGATAACACCCAAATGAAAGCCCTAATTTTTTCCTGTTGGAATCCTAAATCAAAGCCCTAATTTTGAAATTTTAAATCTATTTTCTCAATCTCAATCACAACCCTAACTTTTTAACTTCAGCGTTTCGAAGACAAACTTGGTTCAACTTTGGCCTGAGAACCCACGTTCTTATCCACAAATTTCTTCGCTCCAACCGATGGTGGTCGCGTCCAAGCTATGGTTCACGAAGCATAGAATATTAGGGCTGGAGTGGTGGGTTGGGTTTAGACGTGGGTTGCCGTCATGAGCATGTGGCCATTAGGAATGGTCGCCGGTGAGGGTGGGTTTGGTGGAGAAGAGTGAGGCTGAGTGAGAGTGAGTGAATGTGTCACCTGTGTAGGTATAGCAGGGGGCGGGAAATTTATTGAATTTCAATATTTTTAATTTTTTTTTTTTAGCCGTTGGATCTACAACGGCTGCCCTAACGCGTTGCAAGAGAAAATGAAACAGGATCCTTGAGGAGAGAGAATCTGAACTCCTTTATTGGGCCCAAAGACTGATTCCAAGTTTCCGGGGTGTCAGGAAAGGAATTAAGATACGTCAACAAATCACTTCCTTTGATTGGCTACAAAAGCATCCAAATGACAAGTTGTTCACCTAGATCACTTCGATAGCTTTCAAGTAACATTCCAAAGTTTCCAATGAATGTTACCAATATTTGTCACTTTCACAAAACCATTTAAGACCCATCAAAGCAGCTGGCAAATTACAAATAATTCTTCATTCAAAGCTCTCAGTCACTTATTTCAATTAGATTTTTAATTTCTCCCATCAATTAATACTCTATCAGTTTGATTTTGGAGTTTTTAATTAGTGTTTTTCGATTTTTGGTGAATTTTAAAAAAAAATTAAATATTTTTATTAATTTTTTACTTTTTTAATCCACTTATCTAGATATACTTAAAAAATATAAAATTTGTGAAAATTATTTAAAAAATTCACTAAATACCAAAAAAAGAAAAAAAAACATTTTCATATATATATATTTTTGTATTTATTGAATTATTTTTAGATTTTTTTGCAAATATTTTACTTTGTACAATGTTAAGTTTCATGACAGAAATATCCTGAAAAGTTTTAGGAAAATCCTCCACCTTTGGATACGTGATTGCTTAATATATAATAAAATATCACAAGCTAATCTAAAGATGAAAAATTTTTATGAAACTTTTCATTATATTTCTTTCATGAAACCTAACATTATTGTTTTAATTTTTAAGTATATTTATATTATGTATGTCTAAAAAATAAAAATAAAAATTGACTAATATATGAAAAAAAAATACTAAAAATAAGAAAATACAAAAAATAAAAAACTTATAACCAGAGTGAAACTGATATTATTTCCTCTTGTTTGGGAACGATTAAAGGAAGAAAATAAAAGTAAATGAAGTTTTATTAACAGGGGAAAATTCTAAAAAATTAGAGGCAAAACATTTACTTAATGGGAAATTTTTTCATAAATCTCTTTTCAGCTACTTATGTTTTGTTAATTTACATTATTTTCTTATATTCTAAAATATTATATGGGTGACTTTCATGAAACCTAACATTATTGTTTTAATTTTTAAGTACATTTATATTACGTATGTCTAAAAAATAAAAATAAAAATTGACTAATATATGAAAAAAAAAATACTAAAAATAAGAAAATACGAAAAATAAAAAACTTATAACCAGAGTGAAACTGATATTATTTCCTCTTGTTTGGGAACGATTAAAGGAAGAAAAGAAAAGTAAATGAAGTTTTATTAACAGGGGAAAATTCTAAAAAATTAGAGGCAAAACATTTACTTAATGGGAAATTTTTTCATAAATCTCTTTCCAGCTACTTATGTTTCGTTAATTTACATTATTGTCTTATATTCTAAAATATTATATGGGTGACATAATCATCAAAATGCCCATAATAATAATATTCATATTAACAGTGTGAGCCGTGATGTGAATGCTCACATCGTCAATGTGAATATTCACATTGTAAAATATGAATATTCACATCACCAAATTGTTAACCGTTCAAAAAATATTTGTACGGATAAAATTATGCATAAAATACTTTAACTATGAGAATTAAGATTTGATGGATCAAATGTCCAAGTAATAGAACTTATTAGAATACAAGAATATCTATGAACTAATTGAAATACAAACACTTAAAAAAAGATTTTCTAATAAATCTCCCTCACTTAAAACAATTTTTTTCTCTTTCCATTTTTTGGGGGAAAAAAAATTAAAAAGAAAAAAAAAAAGTAGCATTCAGCTTTGGGTTCTTTCCATCTTTTTTTTTTTTTTTCAATCTAAACAAATTTATTTTCTTTTCTTTTGTTTCCAAATCACCTAATCCGAAACTTGTGTTATAAGTTTTTAGCCTTATGCTTATGATATCCTTGACACCTTCAATCTCCCGACTTCAATCCAAAAAAAATTAAGAAATATCTCATTTATGGGTTAATTACTTAAAAGATCTTGTACGGGGAGGAAATAATTCTCCTCGTATAATCCTGTTGACCAAGTCCACGCTCCTCCGTACGACGTCGCTTTGTCACCTGAAAACACAAACGTGAGCTAGCCGGCGGGTGTGTGCCGGAAACCTCTCCGATGCCTAAGTCAGAAAACTTGACAAATAGACAAAGCTTTAAGTTCTCAGAAAGATTGTGTTCAATTACCTCCTTCAAGGTGATGTTTGCGAGCTTTTATAAGTTTCCCGTGGCACAATCCTAGTAGGACTTGTACTCCTCCATGCAGAGTCCTCCTAGGATTCATTCTCCTAAGGATAATGCTTATCCTTTTACACCCTCCCCCACTGCTTAAACCAAGTGGGATGGTTTTCTTTACGGCCGAACTTCCTTTTGACCGAAGTAAACTTGGCTATACCGAGCCACAGAAGGCCGAACTATCCTTAGCTCGGTCTTCTCCTCCGACTCTTTACTTCGGCTGCCCTGTTCGACCTTGATGCGCTTAGATCAAGCTTCCAAGTAACAAGTTCGGACCGACCTAACCAATGTAAGTCACGACCGGACTAACTCTGAAACCGGTCTTCCCAGAACATACTGCGACCGGACTAACTCCGAGTTGTCTCTGGACCGGAGTAGCCTTACTCCTCCTTGGGCCGAAGTAACTTTGTCTCCCCAAGGCCGGAGTAACCTTGCCCTCTAGGCCGGAGTATTCAGTACGGCCTTTCTACGTGGTCCTCCTCGTTTTGGGCCTCAACGCCCAACTCTCAGCTCGGCCCAATTTTTCCCAAAAATTACCCTCTCACCAGTGAAAGCAATCTTCTATATTTTATTTTATTATATGTTTCAATGCAAAGGTTTCTATGCACTCAATCCCAAGAGGAAATCAAAAAGTAGCTGATAGATAATATGGACAGAGAGCGAAAGTCAAGAGTTAAGAGTACCTTAAGCTTAGATATGACATTTTGTCTTATTAATTATTTTAATCTATTTTATCATTTAGTAAACTATTTTAGCTTACCCTTCTTCCCAAATAAGGTCGTAGGTTGTTACGCCGTCCTGCAGAAATTTCGTACAATTCCCGCCTTTTTTTGCCGCCTTTTTTCTCTCTCCCTTTTCACAAAACAGCCTTTCTCTTTCTTGAAACACTTCACCTTCTATTCTTCACTTTCTCTTCTCCCTTGCTTCCTGAGTCTTTGAGTTTGCTGTGTACGTGCCTCCATTGCTGCTACCGCCTCCATCTCTAGCTTCTCTCTTATACAGGTAAGCAAGCCTATCCTTCTTGCTTTCTTTGTTTTCGTACTCTGCTTTCCATGCTCTGTATGTTTTTTGCAAACAGTTTGTCCATTTCTGTTTCGCTTTTGTACTTTTATGGAGAAACCATTAGAACTCTATGTATATGTCATATACCCTAGAGAAAAAATTTCGATTTTGATCCAGAATCACGTCCCAACCGAACTTGGATACTGTTTGTGTCATGTATGTGAATAGATTCAGAACATAACCGGACTAGAACTAGGAATATCAGTAGTTTCTTTTGACCCACTCTAGCCAAGATGGGATCACCGAACAAGCTTGCTCATACCGAACTAGGTACTTCGGTCTACAACCGAGCTAGAATCATATTACTTACGCATCATTGAGTCTAATATATAAATATAAAAAATAAATTTATATATCATTTCCTCATATTTTATTTACCATCTTATGTATTAACTCTACATTAACAACAAACATGAGTGATTAGATTTCATTCAATCAATATAGGCTTATTTTAAAAAGTAAATTAAAAGTTGATTTTTTAAATTTTTGTTAAAATAATACGTAAAAAAATTTAAAAATTGAATTTTAATCGTATTGTCAAAATAGGCCAAAAGACCCGATACATGATACACAAGTGTGGGGATATATTTCTGAGTATTAACACGTGGCCAAGGTGACGCCGACATATCAGCCGAGGTGTCACGTGTCCTGGTCATGACGCCGAGATAATCTCGACTAAGCCGAGGTTACCTCCGAAGATATCGGAATCCGAGATAAGCGGATAAGGGACAAGAGTCCTAAAATGATGAAAGACTTTAGCATGGATAAGGATAATACTCTTAGGGAGTTTATCTTTATCTCTTAGAGAGTCCAGGATAAGCACAGAACAAGAGTCCACTGAAGCTAGGCTTCTAGTGGGACGATGATTGAGTTAATTATAAAAGAGAGGCACCCCCATGGGTCTAAGGTACGCAATTTATATTCTGTCTAGTGAGTTAAGCACTATTGATTATCTTTGAGAGATATACTGACTTGATCGTCGGAGTGCCCCTGGGTGGACGAACCACCGCTAAAATCTTCTCTTTTTGTTACAGGTTAGCCAGGTGTCATCTATTCTGCCAGTGTTCTCGAGCTAAATATTGAGTTGGGCAGTGTGATCGAAAAATCACTCACACAATTTGGCTCCGTCTGTAGGAAAGAAAGTAGAATAGATGGCCAGTAACGAACAGAAGGAAAAGATTGGCGACGACACACCTGCTGGGAGTGGGAGACTTATTGACCTTGATATCACAGGAGACGAATGCAACGCAAAAACTCGTGACCAGAATCATGGAGCGAAAGACGTCGGCCAGACTAGCGACACACCAAAGAAACCAGATCGAAGTGGATACTACAACGAGGACGACCTCCGGGTTTGGAAGGATAGGTGCCTACGAAGGGACGAAGAGGTAAAAGAGATGGCAAAAAAATTGGCAGACCTGCAGTCGGTCATCAATTTCATGATGCAAAATAACGTTATGCAGCCACCATTCCCGCTGCAAGACACGTCGATTCCAGCGGCCAATGCACAGAAGGGAGGGCAGAAAACGATCCCTGTAGCCCCTCAACACAACGGGAGCGGAAGATACTCTCACCGACCTTCTAGGGAAGTCAGACGAAGAGAGTCAAGAAGAGAAGAATCACGAAGGACGCACCGCACAAAGAAGGCAGACCTCAAAGGACATCGGCATGTTCAGGGGCAGGCACTGTGCTTCGACACAACTCATGAAGAGGGATCGAAAA